TTTTGAATATCTAGAGAATGAAATGTGATATAAAAAAAAAACGTAAATTGCATTCTCCTACATTTGTGGAGCTCTTTCATCTGGGATCAAATATGTCACATCGAACCAATACAGTTCTCATTCGTATGTGTCCATGTAAAAAGATTAAACAGTTTTAGCGCAATCTGGAATTTTAGAAAAGACGTTTGTCGCATGTCCCACGTAACTACCTGGTGTAACAGAATGTGGTATTGTTGATAGTATTTGTATTGTGGATAGATTTACACTCAGCATGCACGTTACGTATTCAGAATAAATTAAAAGTTATTATTTTTGTACAATCATAGTGTCCAACACTTGATATAATGTGACAGATTAGGGGAAACAATAAAGTAATTTATGCCACATTTGTCCTTTCCTAGTATTTGGCGCCCTCCAGCGACGAAAATTCTGTGACATAATTGATTCTGAAGTTCTCGGCGTTTTATATGTCGCCCGTCTCTGGAATAATATTCGAGACAGAGATTTAAAATAGTCACTAAACGAACGACAGCAAAACCAAATAGAGATATTTCATTTTTTTTTTAAATATTTTTTTTATGTAAATATATATATATATAGTTTACAACAAGAGAACTGGTGATGGATATGAACCATGACTGCCTCAGCACAAAAGCTGTTGTGTAATACCAGGGAATATAAAGAGAAATGTATTGTAGTGTTACCTCTGTGTAATTTACAATATATCTGCACTAACCTTCACTGTGAAGGACAATATGGGAGAAGAAGCAAGGCTACGCAAATATTGCAAAATAGTAGTTAGTTAGATTTACCAGACATTGTGGGATATAAAGAAGTGGCCTATTAACCCATGAAGCATACTCGCACATATCCATACATGTCTTATTGTGTGGGGGAAAGCTGTCATGTACACATTCATAATAACTGGAAATGGTTTCACAACAGAAAAAAAGTTAAATAATTATGAACAATACAAACTTAAATTTAGAAAAACTACGAACAAAAAGTAATGAAAGTCTGTGATTTTCTGTACAGTTTCCAGGAAATTATTAACCAAACCATAACATTTATAAGTGAGATATCAGAAATACTCTTACAATTGCATACGAGTCGTAAAAACGTACAGTTTAGTGACATAATTCAAATTTTGTATAGTTCAATATGCATACAACCACCTATGTACTAGTACATTTTGACAATAAACCCTACTTTCACAATGTGCAAATACAAACAAGACATTAAACCTTCCTGACAGTGACATGTAAGCGTTGTATAAACCCGAATGAAAAGTCTTGAGTCACGGCGAATACTTCTATCGAGTAGCCCATTTAAAAATCTCTTCAACTATCCAAGGCCAATCAAGGCGGGGTCATTAATTAAATAATATTAATTTTATTAACACTTACACATTCCCCGGAGGGATTGGCAATGGCTACACATGTTTAAGAAAGAATAAAAGGTTAAAAAAATTAAATAAATAAATAAAACACAATAAAAACATACAAAAAACTAAGCTAATACATTACTGTAACAGAGAAAGAAAATATTAAGACTAAATCATTATACAATGATAGAAAAATGCAAAACTAAACTGGGAAAGAAAATTGTCACTGGGGTTGCTATCTTATTTCAAAACACTTCTTTAGGTATGTTGCTACTGTTGTTTAGCAAGGCTATGAATTGTGTTTTTGGTGACAAATTTTGGTTTTTGCCATTTCAAATAAGACATTTCTATCGGGGGTATAACTTTTGCATGACATCATTAGGTGATACCGGTACTCATCTTCTACTTGATTCTGATCACAAAGGTTACATAATCTATTAGCAAGGGGTATTCCGTTGTGTCTGTCAGTCTCAGTTTTCAAGTTATGGTCACTGAGGCGGAGTTATTTAAATTTTTGCGCATCTTAATATTTTGCAGAGTAACAAGGTAGGTTTCAAAAGCAAAATTGTTTTTTAATTCTCTGTATGTTCTTAATTTATTTATATTTCATTTTGGTTTGATTGATTGTCGTTTTGTAATTCACTTTTCCAAGTTGATATAAATGATGTTTGTATATTTTTATTAATTTGTCCTCATTGCCTTGCTGTTAGAATTTCATTGTTGTCAACCAGGTTAGACTGGTTGATGTTATTCAAAAGGAAGTCTACCATTTACTATTAATTTCTTAATATTAATAATTTACAATTAAACTCGAAAACATCGTAATGTTATTACTTCTACACCAGGTAACACCAATTAAAACCAACATCGATTTAAAATTACTGTGGCCAATGACATTGAAATTTGTTCTTCCATAAAGCAGCAGTTTCCCTCTTCTAATAATCAAAACTACCCTTGATACCCTGGAGAAGTATGTCCATTATTGTTTCACAACAACAACTGTCCCAAGAGATTTTCGTCTTCTCAATTTCTCAAGATAAACGTGCCAGGGTGTTTTGTTTACTAGAAGAAAATGTCCTTTGACAGCATTTCTTGAATTAATTTCCATTGCACAAAAAAGCAGCAAATACTGTTACTGAAGCACAGAATTGGCATGATTTTTTCCCCGGCCATTCACGCAAACTGCAAATCAAAACTTTTACCGCATCCATAGTTGTTGACAGCCGGTGGATGATGATGGATGTATTGCGACGCATTTTGACCCCCCCCCCCGGATTCTGACCTTGCATTCTTGCCACATTTACTGCTCTTTCATACCGTTAAATTTCCTTTCATTATTTCATCCAGATTCCATGATATTTTATATTTGAAACCAACCATTATTTCACAGTCACTCTAGTTTTCACTTTTCTAAAATTATCTTACTGATCAAAAGACTTTTCACTCCCATCATGCAATCTCCCATAGTACTTCCGCAGACACAGCGGCGATCGCCAACATATCTACAAATAACCTCGCTCTTAGGAGCTGAGGAATCAACCAATTAGACAGACTTCTGGATACTAGTTTTGATGAATTGCATGGTAATCGATAGAGGGCGCTATCTGGGGGTAAATCCAGGATCGGTAGATTTAACAAATACCTGTTTTTCAAAGTTGGAAATGACAGTAGTTTTTTTCATGAATTATAATGAAGTTTATCCATAAAGCCACAAAAATAGGGAATCACATACCTATAGTCACAAAACAAATAGCGCTAACCATGGCAGTGTTGCAGAATCATAACCCCTACAAATCATTTACAAATCCAAAGCAGTTGAATTTGCCGATGTCATTATGAAAATAAGAAACCAATCCACTAGAATTTTATTGACGCAACCTAGATTCTTTAAAATGCACTGAGGCTGGTATTGGTAGACTCCAATCCAAGCACTATATGTGTGAGCAATCAGCTGAGGGTATGGAACCTACACCATGGCCATTTGTGTTTTTTCTTTTTAAATATATCATGTGCCAGCAAACAACTATGGACACTGAATGATATATGCAATAATTGCATGTTTAACGTGAAAAGTCATACACATGATGCATATTTAATTAGAAGTTACTGGTTTATTATCCGCTGTATACACATTTATATACAATAATTTGAGAATGAAACAATATCTAATATTTAAACTACTAGTATATATGACTACCTTATGTTGACAACTGCAAATTTTCTATAGCTATCTCTATACACTTTCTACACCCCTTCCCATTCAAATATGCAACACATTATTCTAGGAAAGCTTTCAAAGACATTTCTGCATACTTAATTAGTAAACAAATGACCTGAGCATGGTAATGCATTTTAATTACTCTATACAAATACTGAAGTATGGTGACAGTAATATCCGAGTACATCCACTTGATAAATTAATGCTATACTTGTAACATTATTATGATTCATGGAAATAGAAATCACAGGTAAGAAAAAAGAAGTGTGGTTTATGGAAATAAAGCTGTCAGCAGTAAACATATTGCTCGCATGATTGTCAAACACGATGATCTTGGAATGTTATCTCTGTTTTTGCACTGCATCATGGAAAGAAGATTGTGAAAACAAAAGTAGGTACCACATTTGACATTGACAGTGAAAAAGTAATATTTCATTTGCTAAAATTGACAATAAGAAGAATGGTAGACATAATCTTCTTGTGTTACAGGGTCCAATTATCTTCCCTGCACTTTGACAAGCCCTTCCCAGTAAAAATAAGTTTTATTTAGCATTGTACATCACCAAATATATATTAACCCTGGTAGGTCAAAAGTCATGTAATTTCTACAATAACAGTTGCTTTGTAGTTTATTTGAGTTGCTGAAAACTTGACGGCAGTATGTTAAATAATTTTTTTTTAAACAATATCTTGAAAAAAAAAGAAGCTATTTTCATGTTTTATTCATATACTTTATCTGCCAGTGTACACAATAAACTATTGTGTTTGTGATATCTAAAAACAACTTTTCAACTAAAAAAAATACTTGCATAAATACATCAAAGGATGGAACTGCCCATATATTTAAAAAACAAAAAACATGAAGATTATAGATTTTATACATGATCCGAAAATAAGACGCATAATATACATAGTAACAATATTTGAATTTACAATTATACTATTTTTATCATATCTATTTCAAGGTTTATACTGGTATTCACTGAATTCCATTGCAATATTACAAGGAATCAATACTTATGCTATTTTTGCCAAAGAAATGTAAAATAGGAAATTCCAACCACAAGATTACAACTCATTGTTCAAAAGTTGCCATGGAATTCTACAGCGAATGTACATACATGAAATGCAAAACAATGCAAGCAACTACACATCCTTTGTCTTTAAGTGTCTTCATCTCAGTCAATTTCAGGGCTGATTTCTGTTTCTATGGTAAGAACACTAAACTCAGATTTCCACTAACCATCCTTTGACAGCTGTAGGGCACCACTACTACTAAATAGTACAGTAGCACATGTAATTATTAAATAGTACAGTAGCACATGTAATTATTAAATAGTACATCTACTAATTTAAATCCACTAACATTATCTATCGTCAGTTTCATGTAGTACACAAATATGCAAGAAGTTATCTGGGTGACTCAAATGTTCACTGAGCCACTGTATTGGGGTGTCTAGAGGGGGTTCCACACCTTGGATTATCACCTGAGTAACACAGGCATCTGGAAAAAAAATAAAAATCATTATTATAATGGAAAATATAGAATGTTTACATTTGGAAGCACCAAAGGTAGACAAAAATAGAATTTTTTTCCTAGTTTTTTAATAGTTGTTTTTTGTTGTCAAAAACACAAATATTTAATATAGCCTAATAATAGAAATTACATTTATTAAACTCGTTTTTAAATTTTGTTTAGATTTTTTGACCAGAGGTACTGTACTGATCACTACAAAAGCGGGAAATATAATTAAAGAGATATCAAATTTTGTTTTGTTTTATTTATGCATAGAAACAGTTTTGATGTGGAAGCAGATATAGGTGTTATACTGCCACCAATGGTAGAAAGTTCTTTATCATAATACTTTTGTTTCCGTGTCAAAACAGTACACAGTCACCATCACACCACACCATTGTGTGTATTTTCTAATGCGCCAGTTAAATCAGCAATATAATTGCAGTAATGAGAACATAGTAAGATGTGTACCTATTTTTGGTATAATGTCAGGAAGGTTTTCCTTTAATAAATCACCAAGTGTCAAGGGTTCACCATCATCTGTAACTGGTCGGAACAAGCTCTGTATATAAGATTTATCCACCTAATAGAAAATATTCATAAATATTAATTACTCAGTCCGCTACACTTGGGGTGGGACGGGGTGGCAACATTCATGTGAAGTAAAAGCATCAGTACTGATTAAATCTTTTTATTCATGAGGTCCAATTAAAAATATGATATAAGAGACTTTGCAAAAAAAATATTTTTGATCAAAAAATCTTTTCAAAAATGTTTTTTTTCTTTCTTTTTGTTGAAAAAAATGTTGCAAGTTAAATTCAAGTGATATGTATGATATGTTTCATCTCTGAATTATTTCTGATTCTGTTTCATAAAATAACTTAGAAGCTACAGTTATGAATTTTGTAAAACGAAATTTTCATTTCAAAAAAATTAGTTACTATTTTCTGTTAAAAAGTCCGCAGAACAATTTTTTGAGGGGGTGTCTGGTCTTATATTATATTATTTTCTAATATACCGGTGTAATAACCAGAACTATAACATACAGTTGTAATAACAAATACAAAATTCCTTTTAAGCACACCAGTTTTAATATGCACGAATACAAAAATATCATAAAATTGGAAAACATGTGGAACCTACCTGATATATTCTAAATGGAATATTCCTAAATGGTTCGTCCCCCGTATGTTCCATTAGTCGTCTATTGATGGCCCAGAATTGATCAAATTTGTCTGCGGATTATAATAAACCATTAATCACAGCCCATAAAGAAACATGATTCAGAAAAGAACTAGACCAACAAATTTCACAAAAAAATGAATTATCAACGATATTTGGTAGTACTAAGTCAACCTTATAATGTGTTCTTGATAGAGGATGGTTCTACATAAATTAAAATATATTATTTGGGAAAGGATACTAAAAAGAGTTAAAATATGTTGTTAGGAGAGAATTGGAGAGGCTAGAATTTTAAAAGTGTATTTTTGATATAGAGTCTGGCAGTGGCGAGACAGTATGAAAAATGTATTCTTGAAAGGATGGAGTAGGACAGATAGAATGAAAAATGTATTTATGAATAAGGATGTAGGAGACTAGAAGGTTAAAAATATATTCTTGAGGGAGAATCAAGGAGGCTAGACAGTTAAAAATGCGTTCTTGAGAGAGGATGTGGGAGGCTAGTAAGTTACAGTGAATATTTGTCAAAAAGGATGAAAGAGGCCATGCAGTTAAAATATGTGCTTGAGAGAGGATAAAAGTAACATTATTACCATTCTGTAATCCCATCCAGAGTTGTTTATGATCTTTCTTCTGCATACCATTAATAACTTGACTTCTATGTTTTAAGCAATCAGCCTCCTTGACACAGGCCATGAAGTGAGACTCTATTGCTTCTTTGCTTCTACATCCTAACAGTTCTTCATCTGGGAAATTCTATAGAAAATAAAACCTTTGAATTAAAATATAGTACACAAAACAAT